TTAAATCCCCGTGCATGTGTGTGCTTCATCCAGCGTCTGCCGGCTGCATTCGTTCCTCCGGGCTCTGTTACGGACAGTGGTCCTAGAGGTAGGCAGGGCACAAGGAAATGGTCAGGTGGCTGGCAGGCCCTTCCCCTAAGCAGGCAGAGGGCGGGCCATGCTATCCGGGGAGGGCCTGGATTCTAGCAACCGGCCAGCAGGGGAAGGGTCAGGGACACGTGGACCCAAGTCTAGCCTCCCACCGGCTGGCAGCCTGTGTGGAGGTAACCCCTGGCCGCCTTTCAGGACAGATCATGCTCCCCAGTCCTCTCCCTTCCTGTAGACCCAGGCATGGGACTAGTCTCAGGGGCTCACAGGCCTGTCCCCGGGGTTGCTTACCGGAGAGTCTTCCAGCTATCTTTTTCCCTGCGGCTTTCAGGACCTTCACTTTCAAAGGAGGCGATGGAGAGCGCTGCGAGATGAGAAGCCCCTCAGAACCCACGTCCACGTGCAGTCAGTCTGCACACCACGCCAGTTAACCCTTCCTAGGGGAGCAGCCGGGCAAGGACAATGACCTCTGGGGTCTGGACTTTTCCACAAGTCTCTGTTTCATGAGGTGATAGGCCCCATGAGATCTAGAGCTCCCAGCTTCCTCCTTAGGGACTGCGAAATTTCTGGTCCTGCAGCACTAGCCCAACCACGCTCTGGCTCTCTCACGTGGCTTCCAGAGCCCTCTCTCTCCTTGTCCTCATCCTGTCATCTACCCACTGCCCAACCTCATGTACTCACCCCTGTGGGCTGAGCTGCTCCTGTAGAACACGAGGACAACGATCGGGCCCGCCTCCCAGGGCAACCCCAGGAGGGCAGAGGCCCTGGATGTGGGGGAGTCAGGGTGACATGTACGGCGGTGTGGGGACATGGGTGTGCTGCCACGGGGAGCTGGGCCTCACCTTCCTCGCTGTAGAGGGGTGCCGTGAGCAGGTACTTCTGAATCTTCTTGTCCTTCTGGAAGGGACACTCTACCTGAGTCCATGTCGTGAACTCCTGGATCCGTCTGGAGATCTCCCAGAATTTCTGAAAATACAGAAGACCAACTGGACGTTCATTTGTCACTTTCAGCTTGAAATCCTTGGTTAGGGTTAGGTTCTGGCTTCATTCTGCATCCCAGCTAGATGGGACAGTGACCCTAGTCACCTGACTTTGTGGCCACAGCAGCACTTGATGCAGCATGAGAGCCAGTAAGCGTCCCCAGGACCACTCCGCTTGCTCTTTGCCTAGACCATCAGGCTGTGGCAGGGTCTGTGCCCACCCTGTGTAAGACCCAAGAGGTCCCCATCTGAGACCACGTATGTAGGCCACACCTGGCACAACACCACCAACCAGACAGAACATGCCCTGATCTCACTCTTTAGGGCCTGTGTAAGGATCCCGAATTCCTTCATACCCCTTACCTGTGTGAGGTAGACACTGGACAACCTCACTTCCCCTACACCTACCTCCCCGATCACCTTTGTCCTACCTTCCCACCCTCGGCCGGCGACCCTTAGCTTCCATCTGGAATTCTCTTGCTGCTTCCTTCCTGCTCAAGTCCCTTCTTGCCTAAAAGCCTTCCTCCCTCCCAAACCCCCCAGAAGGTATAGCCCCCTTCTCTGTCTACCTGTTGGGACCAGGGTCCTGGGTAAATACAAGCTCCCTGTGGCTCCAAGCCCTATAAACCAGAGCATCCACCCAGAAGGGTTGGGGTCACCCTGATACTCCGTAAACAGCGCACACAGCCCTCCTGGAGCTTTCAGTCCTAAAGGCCTTTCTGGACCAGGGTCACCGCCTTGCAGCCTAATGGCACACACTGTCTGCCCTGCCTTGTGTTGGGACAGTTCGGCCCCCCTCCTCTTGGACCACAAGGGGGCTGTGCTCACCTCGAAGTTAACATGCCCATTGGGCAGGTGGTTCGTATGGATTTTGTGTAAGAAGTAAAGGTCCTTAACGAAAAGGTTGAACACAGGGATGACAATCTTCTCTGGGCTGCTCTTAGCCATCTGGGCCCTTTGCGTGGCCCCCTGCAGGGCGGTGCGATAGTTGCGGAAATTGCTGCATGGGTCCATATGGCGCTGTGGGCAGATGGGAGGATGTGTTGGGCCGGGCTCTCCCGGCACCCGATTTGGTCAGTGTCCCCCTTGAAGGTCAGGAAACTGATGGGGAAGGTACTGCCCCGCTGGGCAGCCTGGACCGTCACCACAGGAGGCCTCCTTACCAGGAGTGAGCATCTGGCTCAGCACTGCGTCTGGGCCCAAGCACCATCAGGAAAGTTAGAGAAGTCTCACAGCTCACACACACCACTTCCCTGCCCTGCTGAGCCTGGGTCTCCCTTTCCTTTCAAAACATTCCACTGCCCCTCTACTGGGGCCAACACCTCCCAAACCTGACAAGCTCTGCAAGATGTTTCTAGAAAGTGGATTCTGGGGACGCCTGGGTGGCTTAGTGGTTGAGCGTCTGCCTTTGGGCTCAGTGCATGATGATCCCAGGGTCCTGGGATCGAGTCCCACATCACGCTCCCTGTGGGGAGCCTGCTTCCCTCTGCCTAGGTCTCTGCCTTTCTCTGGGTCTTTCATGAATGAATGAATACAATTGAAAAAAAAGGGGGGGGGATTCTGCGATCAAATACATTGGGGAAGGCCTGTCCGCTCCTGGGCCACCCAGGTAATCCAGGACCACAGGAATTCAAGCCAGGAAAAGGCCGGTCTGCTTAGTCAGCATCACCCAGCACAGGGCTCATGGGTCCATGTTTCTCAACCGGATTCCTAACCACTCTCCAGAACTTGCTTTAGGCAATGCCAGTTCTGACTAAAGTCCCAAGGGCTGAGGAGCGCTTCAGCTACCCACCTCCTAGAGCAGCCAGGCCAGCTCAACACACCCTACACCAGATGGCACTGTGGGCACTGGGTTCTCAGCCACGGGGCAGAGCATGATGGGACACCCACCCTAACTCAGGCCAATGCAGGAGGAGGCTGAGGTTCCTACCTCCAAGACCTCAAATTTGGCCGTCTTGACTTTGGACCACGTTTTCTTCAGCCTCGCCACAGGACTGAGGTTCATGCCACCTGCAGGGAACAGCGGGTAGGGTCAGGATGGCGGTAGGCAGGCCACACAAGAGCTGGCTAGGGAGGCCCGTGGCCTGGACACTCACAGATGATGGCCATCATGGAGTTGAAATTCCCGATGTTGAAGCACCCCTGGGCCACATCAATAAAGAACTCGAGCATGCGGGTCTGGTGCTTCTTCTTCACCATCTTGAGAGCAGCCAGACAGCCTCAGGGTGAGCCCACCGTACGAGCATCCCTCCACCACCCGTCCCTGAAGGGCAGGCTGGACAGGAGCCACCCTAGGCCCTCAGTACTGTCAGACCCAGGGTTGGGAGATTCCCATGGGCTGCAGAGGCAGGAAATGCAGCGGTGGCATCTTCGATGCTGGGCAAAGGGGCAGGAGAGCAGTCCAAGATCACTAAGGGAGCGAGCCACAGATAAACTCACAGACTGCGCTGGTACACACCACGGATGGGTGTGTCTCAATCACTGGGAGATTGGCCCGGGCACCGGGTGGGGTAGTGGTGGTAGGGGCAGCAGGGATGTTGGTGGCCCTGGAATGGAGGCTTCTGCCTCCACTTTCAGAGTTTTATCATCTGAGGGGTACAGAATTCAGAGCCCCAGGCAGCCTCGTGGGTTGGGAGAAGGGACAGTGCCACCCTATACACATGGGCTGTGCAGTGCTTACCCGGCACACCTCGGTGGCCACTAGCATGCTAAGGCAGTTGGACCAGTTGTCATAGGCCTCCAGGCTATAGGTCTTGGTCAGGTCCCCTGGGCACTGGTAGAGCACACACAGCAGATCACAGGGAGCATGAGGACCCAGCCAGCAGGTGCCGCCCCAGTCCTACCCCCGGAAATGAGCTGGCACCATGGCCAAAAGAGACTGAAAAGGACAGTGGGCTATGGGCAGCTGGACAGGCCCAGGGCTCCCAGGACGCCCCTCCCCAAGCTCCTGGGAACACTGGCCCCTTCCACTCTGTATCACCCTGCAGTGCTGTCTGCAGACCCCGTGGAACAGGCACTAGGCCAGACCCATTTAGTTGTGAGGCCCCCACCCTGCATGGGGTATAGACAGGGACCCCCTTAAGGCCACCCACGAGCACACAGCAGCTCCTCACCCTGTGCTTGTCCCGGGAGTCCATGTGGCTGACCATCTGCATCAGGTCCCCAGGGTGAATGCTGCTGGCCCTCTCCTAGGATGGGCAAGGACGGGAAGGTGACAAGCCTGCCATTCTTGGGCCCCATACCCCAAGGTGTGGGCCGCGTTCAGAGTGGCAGTCCAGACCTTCCTGCACGTGTGTGCCACAGCCTCTCCATCAGAGCATCCAGCCAGTGGGGAAGGTTCTGCCCACCCCCACCCCCAAAGGTACCCTCGGGGTCTGGAAGACCTTCCCCTGGGAGGGGAGGAAACAGGGCTTCATGGGAGTGAGGCCTTGGGGCAGTGGCAGCTAGCGACAGGGTACCTTCCAGCCCACGGCATAGGCAAGACGAGGAGACGGGGTGGGGGGAACTGGCTCTCCCCCTCCAAGCCCTTCACCTCCTGGGCCAGTCCTCTATCATGTGGCCACTGCAGTCCCATCACCCCAGCCCCTCCCTTGCACAAAGGGCTGCTGTGATGCTGGGGACCCAGAAGCACAGGTTTGAGCAGGCACGTGAGCTTCACCTGACTCCCCAGTCTGACCGACCAGCGAGGAGGCACCGATGAGTGAGCATCGGTGATACATCCTACCCCAAGCAGTGCATGCCGTGCCACTGACCAGCTCTAGATGCGTCAGCTGCTGGGCCAGCACCAGTGGGTCACAGCACACGCCCAGGATGTCCTTCTGAGTGGCTGGGGACTTAGCCTTGAGGACAGACCCTTTGTCCATGGCTGGTGAGCGGAGCTTCTCCCGAAGCTCCTGTAGCTGGCTTCGGGCCGCCAGAGACAGCAGCAGGCTCTGTGTCATTTGGGCAATGGCCTTCTTCACTGTGCCATTCTCCTGTGAAGGCAGGGGACAGTGAAGGTGCTGGTGTGAGCTGGCAAGACCATCGCCTCTCCAGAGGAACCCATCTCCTCCCTAAGGATCTGCCTAACTTTGAGCCCACATCCCTACTCAAATCTGCCATGAATATTCGGGCCTTGGAGGACAGAATGGAACACAGTGGGAGCTCCTCTAAGTCCTGCTGAGGGTGGCTCAGCTGCCTATGCTGTGGGGATGGGAGCTGAGGGCCAGGCCCAAGCCAGGGGTAGAAAACCATGGCTTTCCCAGGAGCACGCAGCTGAACCACTTTTGGTCTTCCCACAGTAAGGCAGCCCACAGTAGGGAAGAGAGCATCCTCTAGGACCCGGAACCTTCACTCCCTGCAGGGGGGAACAGCCCCGGCCCTGCCCAGAGCTCTCCCTGGGCTTTGGGAGCCCTCAAACCAGACAAGACGCAGAGCACACAGAGTACTCCCCAGGTTTCCTGTCTCCACAAAAGGCCGGGAGTGAGCTGGGAGGCCAGAACTGCAAACCGGCTTTTACTAGGCTCCCACTCCCCACCCCAAACCCAGGAAAGGGTACGGCCTGGGCTCATTCCAGCCCACTACTTAGGCCACAGGGTCTCTCACATGCCAAGTGTGCCAAGGCCCATTGCTGGACAGCTGAGCAGTCTGGGGATGGGTACAAATGGAGCCACCCAGTCATCTTAAAAGGGGACAGCATAGAAGACTGCATAGAGAGCTGTCCCTGAAGACCCGCCCTCCTGTGAGAGTAGACCCTCTCCCCCAGACATACACACACGGAGCTCTGCAGGGCCCCAGGGAAGACCTCACCTCATCAGACCGTGTGACCCGCTGAGTGATGGCCTTCAGTTCGGCCATCGCCTTCTCATCCTGGAAGTCACAGGGGAAGGCCTCTGTCCACTCCTTAAATAGCTGTACGATCTTGGCTGAGAAAGACTTGAGCTTGGCCTGAGGTGGCAGGACGTAGAGCAAAGTCACCCTCCACAGTGGGCAAGGAGATAACAAGTGGTACGAGCCTCCCCCTCTCCTCCGGGTCTGGGGTGAGGGTGCTTGGGAGGACCATCCCCTCCTTGTCCCCTGTGGATTCTGTTGTGCCTGCTTTGTTTCCTATTTCCCCTTAGTACAGCAATTTCACTTAAGCCTTTTCAAAAAAATGTATCCTCTACCCTGACATAGGAAACTAATTTCCTTTGTTGTTCTTAGAAGTCACCCACTTAAAATAACTGAAAACCAAGCAAAATTATTGAATGAGAGACTCTCGCCGGCCCCCTCAGTTAAAAGCAGGTGGACAAGTGCTGGGAAGGGTTGCAGATGCTCGGAGGCATCCCCTCTCCCTGCTTCACGTCACTAAAGGTGGGCGGGCACACCTGCCGTTGCCAGGGCCACACACATAAGGCCCGAGGAGGGTGTGCCCAATCTGGTCCTCAGTGCCCAGCCCCACACTGTCCCGCTAAAATGACCACAGGTGCCAGCACCCCTTCTGCGCCCACCAGGCTCCTCCTCAGCACTGACCAGCTCCTGCCTGCCTGGGCCTGCCCTCCGGGCTACTCTTGCTGCCCTGTGGGCCTCTAGCCACTCCTCATCCCCACCTTTTTGGCCCACATCTGCCCCACCCCTGCTGAGCTGCCTCCAGCCTGCCTGATCCTGGCCACAGGCCCGGCTGGTTCTCCCCCCGGGGCTGGCCTGCATCCTGAGCATGTGCAGGTGCACGGTGAGGCCTGGTCTGGTGGAGGGAACAGAGAGGACAAAGTCATTAGCAAATGGGGGGCAGGACGTGCTCTGCCGCAGCCCAGACTAAGCCCTGCCAGTTCTCAGATGGCATACCTACCACTCCGTCCTCTGCACCAGACCAGACTTCTAGAAGCCACTGCTCCCAAAGCACATGCCCACAGCCACCCTGGCCACCAAAGCCTGGCTCAAGCAGGAGACAACAGGGAAAAGAGCCCTCCTGCAAACCACTCCAGGCAGGAGAGTCAGCCTGGGAGTGCTGCCACCTGACCTCTACCCAGAGTGGTTTTCCTACCAGCCGGGGTCCCGGCACTCACCAGGATTGCTGGCAGGGCTGTCTTTCCTGGAAAGAGGTGTGAGTACCCACCAAGAACAGTTATTTGTAGCACCCCATGGAGAGTGCTGAGCTGGGTGTGCACCCCGTGCCCCACAGGGAGCCAAGCCCCAGGGGTACCCAGGGGGCCAGAGACAAGCCAACCTTGCCCAATCAGGGAGGGCCCTGGGCTGGGCTCAGCCAGACCTGTCCTGCCAGCTTCTCTCCCAGCTGTGAGCAAGCCAGGAGCTGGGGGCACACACAGGTAGCACCCATCAGCACCTTTACCTTCTCAGCCCCAGGAGTCTCCAGCTGCTGCCTCTGCTCCAGGCAGATCTGCCCCACACGGACCAGCAGGTCATGAGGGGGCATGAAGACCCGGGAGCTCAAGAGGAAGGTAAAGATGTATGGCCTCTGAAGAGACAAGGAGAGAGGAGGAGGAGCAGGTCAGGCCTGGTGCGGCCCCAACCGCTGAGGTCAGGGCCAGCGAGCCCCATGGCGGCCCGACAGCACCACCCAGCGGCCGTGCCTTCCCCCGCATGCTTTGCTGCGCCTTGACTGCCCTTCCCTTTCTCTCAGTTACCCAAATCCTGCCCCGCCCGCCCCCCCTTGCAAAGCACAAAGTAAATCCCCCCTCCGAGCAGCCCCTCGAGGCTTCCCCCAACAAGCTCACCTCCCAGCACCTTGCTCTGCTGGGATTCTCCTCCACCCCGTCTTACCCCACGATGGAAGAGAACACCCAACCTTGAATGTTGGTGGGAATCTCCCAACCTCACACAGTGCTCCTGGGGCCAGGCTCCAAGCATGCTGCTTCTCCAGATAGTTACTGGCCTTGCCAGTGGAAGCAGCTTGAGGGCATGGTGGGGCAGTCTCAGGCCCTGCACCCAGCCCCAGCAGATGGCTGCAAGCCCCAGTGCAGTCACTAACCAACTGTGGGCCTTATCTCCACCTGGCACACCCAAGGCCCCTCTCTGTCCCACAGCCATGTGCTTGTCACTACTCACTGGGTTGTGTGGTGCAGGTTCGGATAGGTCCTCATGACCTGGACTAAAAGGGAACAGGCCCCAGGCCCCAGGGTTCTCAGAAGCATTTCGTGTCACCTGGGTCAGCAGCACCTGTGAGAGCTCCACATTGGCCCCTGCCTACAGACAGGGAGGACTTGGGAGTGGGGGAAGCTGCTTGGGGCTCTCCTGGGGAGTCCACACCTGCATGACTGCTGCAGGCTGGAGGGCCTGGGACCCTTTGCCTGCATTCTGGGCCCACAAGGCCTTGTGGAACAGGACTCGGGATTCAGAGCCTCAGGCCCTCACTGCCCCCATGCAGCCTCCAGACACCATTAGAGGCTACTCTCCTGGGAACCGCAGGGGTTCCTCCAACCACATCCCCTAATATTCACACTTCCCATGACCTGGCCCCAAGCTATGCAACATGGGTGCTCAGAGATCCCTGCTGGTCAGTGACCCCTTCCTAAGCAGATGCCTCAGACGTGTGATGAAAGTCACCCGGGCATCACACCTTGGAGTTCTTAGCTAAAGTGAGAAAAGCTTGCAGGGCGGAGCCATGCCTTTCCCAAGGAGCACAGAGATGTACTGGTGTGCATGCATCCCCAGTTGCCAGCATACATGGGGCAGGGGCAGCAGGGGGAGCCCAGGAAGCTGGCAGAGGAGCTGATGCCTAGCTGGACTCTGGCAGCCCTACCTTTCTGCCCTACCGCCCCCTTACTCGCTCTGGGAACACAGTCATAGTGTTTGGGGGATAATCCTGAGTAGCAGCCAAGAAGGCCCTTCCTTCTGGGACAGACCTAAATGAGGAGTAGCCCCCGCCACGAGGCCACAGAGCAGAGCTGGAGTTGGAGGTGCCAGCCCCTGGGAGGCTGATACCCTGCCCCTAGGCTGTTTCAGGGCCTCAAGGCCCCTCTTCTCAGCTGCACCACCAATCCCAGCCCCAGCCCAGGTCTGGAAGGGTTTTCAGGAGGGATGGAGCCCTATGGCGGGGGTAGGTGGGAGCCGTGCCATGTTGGTCCGGAGGGCACAGGCACACCGAGAAGCTGAGTAGGCTCCAGCAGCATTAGATACAAGTCGGAGAGGGGAGGGACAGCCCCTGCAGGTGGGGAGCACAGCTCTGCCCTCAGGACCGAGGGGGGTCGTGGCTGGGATGCACTGCTGCAGCCTGACCATCCTGGGGAGCAGCGGGCCTAACACCACTGTACCTACGAGATGGCCCCTAGCAGAGGCACGAGGGAAGCCACACGACAAGGGAATCCTAAGAATGTACCAATGGCATCTTGAAATGAAGAGGGAGGATTTGAATGCAGGCACACGCCTGGGGGTCTGTATGCTGTCCAATCGTGGCGGGCCTGTGTCCTCTTTTTCTGGACGATGGCAGTTCACGCACAAAAACACCTTCCCCAGCTCAGGGACGGGACACACACACGCAGGGTGGGTGGACCCTCACCAGGACTCCAAGGTACCAGCCTTACCCCTTATAGACTGCTCTTCCTCCCTGACACCCCTGCCAGCTCAGGTCCCTGTTTCACCCCCTTGTGTAATCCTTCCTCTTGCCATCAAGGCCATCTCCCAGCTACCTGGGGTAAGCAGGGAAGTCACTGAAGGTGCCTCTCCCCTAGGCTGGGGGCAGGGGGCAGAGCAGGAAGCAGGGCCGAGGCTCCCTGATGACCTTCCCCTACCACACTGCTCTCTTCAGTTCTCGGTCCAGGCCTCCTTCCCCATCCCAGAAGCAACCTCCCCTGAAACCCAGGTGGCCCCCACTCATCCCACCCATCCCAGGTCATGGCACTCACATCTGGGTAAGAGTCCACTGTGGGGACCAGGTGCTCCATCAAGGCCTCCAGGGACCCAGAGATGAGGCGACCCTCTTGGAAGACAAGGTCCCCAGAGCTACTGGCCCCGCTTCCTCGCTCCCCCATGCCGGGCTGCGCTTGTCCACTCTGGCTGGGCCCGAGTATGCTGGAGAAGACAACAGACATCTGGGTTGTAGTTTCCTGGGAAGAAGAAAAAGGCATCACAGGCCCCATCGCCAGGCCCTCCTCCTCCTAGGCTGGCCTGCATCCTGAGTGTGTGCAGGTACACGGTGAGAGCCCCACCAGGAGGCTCTCACCAGGGCCAGGAGGGGCACCCCAAACATGGGTGGGCATCAGAAGTGGGCAGGCAGGCCCCCTGGCAGCCCTGCAGCTACTGGGTATCTGATAAATGTTTCTTCTGCACCTGCTCTGTGCATAGCAGGCCCCATTCCCACAGCCCGGACACACAGAACCCTGCCTCCTGGGGTTACATCCCAGGGAAGAGAAAACTATGGAGGAGAAGACCAAGCACGTAGGGGTGGTCAAAGCAACCTCAGGTGGTACCACTGGGATAGACTGATGCTGTCAGTCATGCAGCATCCTGGGATAAGAAAGGAACATTCTAGGCATAAGGGACAGCAGGTGCCAAGGTCCTGACACCAGGGTGTGTAGAGGGAAGGAGCAGGGACAATGGTCTGAGGAGTAACAAGACAGACTATGCACACCTAGGCTGGGGGCAGGGGGCCATGTGCACCTCCTCTGAGTGAGACAGCAGGCACAGGGACTCCGAGGGACTCAGGGTGAAGGTCACTATTTCTGCGGTCGGAGACCCAGCAAGGGAGGGATCTGAAAACCAACTGGTGGGGTTTGCTATAAACTCAGGAAGAGATGGCTCAGATCAGGTGGTAGAGGAGGGAAGCAGGGTCAACTCCGGATGCTGTAAAGGATGGTCTCGGGCCTGAGGATTAACCAGCACGGGGAAGAACATGAGGGTGGGGTTTGAGGAAAGATGTGGAACTTGATTTTGGAGCTGAATTTGAACTGCCTATTAGACATACACATCAGACAGCAGTCTTGGGTGCTCAGGGCTCCCACAGCTGCAGCTGCCCACAGCGGCCTGGCAGGACCAGGAGGAGGGTGCCCACCTCACCCTGCAGCAGGGCCTCTACTGGTAGTCTTCATGAGGTCTACGAGACTCTGCAGCCCTCCTGGGCCTCCACTTCCCAGTGCTCGGGGCAGCTGTCAGTGCCTGGGAGGTGCTGCACGGGGCTCAGAGGGAGGCACATTTGCCAGCCCAAGGCCTCAAAAGTTACAGCCCATGTGCGTGCTCCCCCCTCCTGTCAGCTGGAGTGGCCTGTGCTACTGGCTGGACTAGTCTCACCCTCTCCCCACTTAGAGGGCAGGCAGGTCTAGGTTGGAGCAGAGGAACGGGGCCGTCTTCTTGGGCTCTCTCCGTATCTGGTGAGCAGGCCCCAGTGCCCCAGCCTCCCCAGTCAGCCATGCTGCCCTGCTTCCCTAGGGGTGGAGGCCACCTCCTCCTGTTTAGGGGGTGGAAACTGCATACACCCTCCTTGGGCTCCCATTGCGCTCACCTCTACTGCTCCTCCCAGCCCTCGCCTGCTTTCTGATCCAAACTGGGGCAGGCTTCTGAGCCAGTGTGGCCTCAGTTTACCCAATGAGCAAACAGTAGTCCTGAGTATTTTATTTATGATAGGCACACAGTGAGAGAGGCAGAGACACAGGTAGAGGGAGAAGCAGGCTCCATGCACCAGGAGCCCAACGTGGGACTCAATCCCAGGTCTCCAGGATCGCACCCTGGGCCAAAGGCAGGCGCTAAACCACTGCACCACCCAGGGATCCCAGTCATGATTATTTTATTGCTGGGAGAGGACCCTGGCTCTCCAAGGTCTACACAAGCAGATCCGACTTCCACCCCACAGCACATCAGCTGAGCCTCACATGAGGGAAAAAGGACACTCAGCCTCAATTAACACAGGCTTACCTGCAAACACCTGAAGACTGCCTTAGAATTCCCAAAAACTTCATTGTAAGGAGAGTGAACACTCAAGAAAAGCCCCAGAGATTGAAAGGTCCTTGATCCCCAGGCTCAGCTGCCTCACTTGGGGATGGGGTTTCAGACTCCCAGAACACACCCCTCAACACCTGCTGGCATGCACACTCTCAGGCCCTGGCCCAGACCTGCCAGGTCAGAAACTCAGGCACTGTCTTCCATCAGTGCATTACCGAGCTGTCTGGGGGGCTTCCGAGGGGGCTCAAGTCCACATGCCTCTGGCAGCCACCTGACCACACCTCGCACCTGCCCATGGCCAGCCCTGCAGTCATCACCCCACTCCTGCCCCCTGGGGCTCTGGTCCTCCAGTGCACCCCACCACACCCTGTTCATCACAGCCCAGAAGACCACAGGATGGAGCTGCCAGGAGGGGCCCATCCCTTCGGCTTGAGGCAGCAGCCCCTCCTGCAGCATCTGGGCTGAGAACCCCATGACTATCCCCCCAACTGTACAAGATCCCATAGTGCCCATTTTTCAAGGACATCAATACAGGCTTACATAAATGCACAGAAATGTGTGGCCGTCACCACCACACTAATCACAGACTTCACTGCAACGGAACTGGGGAAGGAGGAGACTCACTTTCCACTCTACACACTTGCAAGCTATTTGGTAGCTTTTCTAAATGGTATGTCCGTTTGTCATTTAAAAAAAAATAACTTTGAAAAAACAAAATAACTGTTTTTTAGCGCAAAGCAGCTGACTTTTGAAGTCCGTACTTTTTATAAAAAAACACATTAAAGAGGCTGATGCCCCAGGGCTGGACCTGTGGATAGAAGCACAGCCACCACCTCACGTCCACAGAGAAGGCAGGCTTCAAGGCGGGGACCTGGAACCCACACAGAGAACAGGGAGGGCCCACAGGGGCTGTATGGGACCACCCCAGCATCCATCCTGCCCCAGGGACCCACCCAGGGATGCTGCCCACATGCCCTCCTCTCTCCCCTCCTCTGTACTGAGTTCATGGGTCCTGAGGACCTTTCAGAGCACCCCTTCTTTGCTCCCTTCTCCATCCCTAACAGAGCCCCCCACCCAGCCATAAGCATTGAGGGGTCTCTCCAGGCTCAATGCCAAGTGGGCAAAGATTTCAAGCACCCTCCATTTTGAATCTCACTACACAACAGCCAGCTCCTTGCCCTTGGACAAATCTAATCTGCCTCAATTTCTGTAGCCATTCAGTGGAGATGAGGACAACCCTTGCTGAGCCCCCTGCCTGCCTGGCATTTCTGCTGGCCACGCCCCTGGCCCTGTGGTCCCTTCTGTTCTTGCAACTGGGGTCCTCCTCTCCCATCCCAGCAAGAGCAGAACTGCGTCACTGGCCACACTCCTTCATGTCTATTGTCCTGACTGGCCCACTTCTCAAGGAAGGGCCACTCAGAGTGGAACACCCGGGATATCTGGGCTCCTGTCCTGATGAGTAGCACACAGCAATCACAATCATAATAGAAACAAAGCTCAGGTTGAGGACCTCACACAAGCCATCAGTGACACCAATGCTAGCACGGAGTCCTCTCCTTAATCCTCATAATAGGGCGCTTGGATGGCTCAGATGGTTAAGCATCTGCCCCCCACTCAGGTCAGGGTCCCAGTGTCCTGGAATCAAGTCCCACTTTGGCTCCCTGCTCAGTGGGGGAGGGGGGCTGCTTCTCCCTCTGCACCCCATTGTGCTCATGCTCTCTCAAAATCTTTTTAAAAAAATTCTCACAAGGGATCCCTGGGTGGCACAGTGGTTTGGCACCTGCCTTTGGCCCAGGGCACAATCCTGGAGACCCGGGATCGAATCCCACATCAGCTCCTGGTGCACGAAGCCTGCTTCTCCCTCTGCCTGTGTCTCTGCCTCTCTGGGACTATCCTAAACAAAAAAAATAAAAAAAAAAAAACTTTGTTAGAACACACGCTTTTGGAGGGAGAGCTGGGGTGTATAAGGAGAACCATCAGTGCTCCTAGTGTTGGCTTCTGCTTCTGGAGGGCAAGGAAAGGTAGGAGGGGGATCCTTCTGTCCAGGTGAGGTCCTGAGGTGAGAATCAGGGCACCTGTGGGGGAGGGAAGAAAAGAGACCTGGCTGTGGGTCCTGTCCTTCCAAGGAAGGGGTGGGGGGTCAGATCCTAGCAGCGCTTTGGACCGGAGTATGCCCCCAGGTCCTGTTGCCCCTTTGCACGGAGTCTCTCTAGTTCTGGCTGGCAGAGGTGGTCAGAGTATGGACCATCAAACACTACAGAATCAGGCAGAGATGGAGTGACCTGACCCAGGACATTTCCTGGTGCCCACCAGTGGTTAAGCTGGCCCAGGAACCACCATGTCCCTTCCGGTCCAACAGAGTCACGAATAGGGAAGGCGCCCCCAGGCGGAGCTCGCAAGACCCCTGAGCACACGCCGCGCCACCTCGGCTCGGGAGCCGGCAGGGGCCCAGACAGACAGCCAAGCCAGCCACTCGCACGGCACACACGGGGTGGGTGCGGGGGGGGCGGGGCGCCCCAACCCCCCGGCCGCGCGCACAATCGCACAGGCACGCGGGCAGCACACCCCGCACTGGACGCCGGCCCGGCCCGACGGGATCCGCCACCGTCTCGGGGGGAGGCGCAGCCCGCGGTAGGCAAAGCGCGGCGCTCTGCCCAAACACGTCGCGACGGTAGTCAACCCGCGTCGGTGGGCACACTACAACGCGCAGAGGGGAGAGCTCCCCACCTCTCGCGAGGTGGGCGAGACAGAGGAAGGAGACGGGGACACGACACAAGCAGGGAAAGAGAGGCAGCCCCTCGGGCTGGCCAAGCGCCAGGTCGATGGCTCGGCCCGCCGCCGGCACTCACGCGTCCCACCAAGTCCTCCGAGTCACACCCACACCACCCCCGCCGGCGCGTCGAGGGGGAGGGGAAGATGAGGCGCCCCCCCCCCCCCCGGGGCAAGGGTGCGAGCGCCTACCTTGACAAATTCCAACACCCGCTCCTCGGACACGCCAACGACGGCGGCGGCCCGAGGAGCCGCCGGGGAAGGAAACGACGTCAACGCGTGGCCTCAGGCACCTGAGGCGCCCTGGAGCGCTCCAGGGGCACCACGGAGGGCAGGGCCCAACGCGCTCAAGCGCGCCCAGGCCGGGCGGTGAGCAGCGTGGCATCGGGCCAGCCCTCCCCGCAGAGGGGAGGGCCACTCGCCACGGACCCAGGTTTTCGGGAAAGGCCGGCGAGAGTGTCCGCTGAGTCACAGGACCCCAGTCCCGCCAGTGCCGCGAGGTGAGAAGGCGGGGTCAGGCCGGAGTCCGCACCACCCCCAACCCCGGGGCACGCCCCCCGCGCACCCACCACGACAGCCGGGCGCGGAGGAGCCGGGGACGGAGGGGCCCGCGGGCAGAACGAGAAGACCGGTCACATTCGCCATGGATGCCAGTCCCTCGTCTGACGCGGCTTAGGCCCGGCCCAGGAGAGCACGAGATCACCACATCGATCGGCAGCAAGCTGCGGCCCCGAGGAGCAAAAGCCCAGCGAGGACGGCGACTGGGGGGACCTGCTTCCGCCTCACTGGCAGCCCCTCGACCCCCAGGGGCAGGAGCGACCGGACAACCCCAGAGACAGTGGGAGACGCCTGACACGCGGAACGGAGCCTTGCGGGACAGGTGTTGCCACAGCCAACGGCCGGGTGCCCACGGCATGGAGCGCACGGGGTTAAAAGACCCACCGCCACCTGCCCACACCGCCCTCCCTCGGGTGCCAGAGACCGGAGGGGGACACCATGACCCGGGCCACCTGGAGTCCAGCGCAAGAGCCGGCGCGCAGGCCCAGGCGGACGGCTCAGGCTCCAGTGAGGGAGGACAGGGACCGGCTCGGCCGTGCGGTCAAGCCCGGAACCCCACACGCGCCCAGAGGCCCACATCTCTAAGGCGAGCGACGGGCCGGCTGTCTTTTCGGTCTGCCTGCCCGTCTGTCTGTCGCCGAAACTCAACGTGTCAGCACCTACCTGGCAACAAAAAATGTTCATTTCGGGCAAGAAAATAGACGCGCCTGCTGGCGGGGACCAGCCACAGGTCACCGCGACCTCCCGGGACCGTGGCACGCCCACGGTCCCCAAAATCTGCCCCACCGCGCCCCCCACCCCCACCCCACGGAGCCCCCAGGGCTATCTGGTCGACGCAGGGAAGGCAGGAGGGGGGAGGGGCGATACGCGGGAGGTGGAGACCGCCATCACGCCGCCACGCCAGTGATCTCCAAGAGGAGACTGAAAAATCATCAAAGTCATCCTCTTTGATCCACTTTTTTTTAATTTTTTTAAATTTATTTATGATAGTCACAGAGAGAGAGAGAGAGAGAGAGAGAGAGAGAGAGAGAGACATAGGCAGAGGGAGAAGCAGGCTCCATGCACCGGGAGCCCGACGTGGGAGTCGATCCCGGGTCTCTAGGATCGCGCCCTGGGCCAAAGGCAGGCGCCAAACCGCTGCGCCACCCAGGGATCCCTGATCCACTTTTTTACATTTGATGCCTAACCAATACTTCCTTCTTGACGTGTTTGTAAAATGTATATAATTTGTAAATATAAATATGGTACAATGGGAGATATTAGTTGATTGTCTTTTTGGACCAAGCCAACTCTGTATCCTTTACCTGCTTCTTTACCTTTCTGCTAGTTGTGGCCATTCCCTAAGAGTCCAGATTTGGCCAGCCATTCTTCTCGAATCGTTCAACTAACATTCATTGAGTCCCACCGACTATGTTCCAGGTACACTGCTCGGGAGTCTGACTAGGGTGGTTGGAATAGACCGGCACAGAGGAGGGTGTTACAAGCCCCTGCTCAGAAGGGACTCTTACGGCACATGTACAAAAAACGAATACTGTCTTTTCTCCCCCTACACATTAGCTGCTTCTCCTGGTGGCCCTCTTTCAGTTCAGACTGACCATTCTCATGATCCCCTGAGCTTAGTTAATGCCTGAGAGCTAGCATCTTTCATTCTTTACTTCTAGTCAGTTTTTGCTAACTACACAGGACCTCTTCCCTGTCGTTTCCTTGCTGTTGCCACCACCCTAACCCAAATTCCCCTCCCTTCTTTTCTTCCCTTCTCATCCCTTTTTATCCTTTTCAGGTCGCCTACGAAGTGCCAGCACTTACATCGGCACTACTGAAGTTGTCCCTGCATTAATTAAGACTCCTCTGTGGCACATGATGGAAAGCTATCTTGAACTGGCTTAAGGAAACTAGGAGTGTTATAGAAGAATCTTTCTTGGATAGCTCTCAAACTAAAGGGATTATTATAGCCAAATTTGGATAAGAAAACCAAAACAGCTTTGATATCTCAGGGACTGGAATCAGAGACTTGAATACCATGAAAATTCTCTTGTTGTCTTCTTGTCTGTTTTTCTCTGCATGTTGACTTCATTCTCCTATTGCAGATTGGCTTCTTCCACATGTGAGGTATATGGCTGTTGGCGGCTTTGGGCTCACGTCTTCTCAGCTTTGCCATCAGAGGGGAAAGAGCTTTCTCCCAGATCCAGTTGAGAAAAGCCCAGGGAAGGAGTTTTGCCCACTCTTGAGCGGGTCACTATTGGCCAGGTGGGGTGGGGGTATTGTGATTGTCCCAGCCTGAGTCTGGTCTCCACCCTTAGGAAATTACTGTGGTTGGGGGTGTTCTACGATTAGTTCCTCCACCGGGTGCTGGGAGTGTGAGGTAATAATCAGTTTTCCCGAAAGAAGGAAGAGATTTACATCCCATGAGAAGATCAGTGTGGCCTTTCAGAGCGTGTGGAGTCCACTGTATACACTATTTGAGCATTTGCTTCCATCTCTCCATTCCCCATCCTATACTGTTTTAAAGAGTAATCTTCCTTAAATGTGCCTTTTTGACCTGGCCATACCCTAGCACAGCAGTTCTCCAACTTTAACATCAGAGTCACCTGGAGTAACTTGTCCCAAGAAAGACACAGATGCTCAGAATTACTCCTAATATCTGATTCAGGGGTTTAGGGTGGGGCCCAAGAATTTGCATTTCTAATGGTTTCCCAGGGAAGGCTGATCTATGGGTGAGGGGACTTCACTGTGAGAACCACTGCCCTGGCAGAAAAACTCCTCCTTGCCTTGAGGACACTGACCAACTTCTTTTACTTCTCACAGAAGGCACTCCTCAGTCTGACCCTTTTCTGGTCTTCTCTCTCATTGTTACCATTTTAGGATCCCTTTAGTTCTAATCTGATTTGTCTGATACCTGTTCTCTAAAATGCTTTCTACTTTCTTACCTCTGTGCTTTTGAGAATAATTACTTGGCATAACCTTTAAACTCACTACTGAATTTAGGATTTTAGTCAAGGCATAGCTTAAATTCTGCTTCTAACATCTTCTCTCACTACTCTCAGACAAAAGCAATCTTTTTTCTCAGAACTGCTATTCATTCGTTCATTCAGCAAATATTTATTGAACTCCTACTCTTTGAGGAGGCACACTGTATCCACAGTAATGAACAAAACAAAATCCCTGCTTTCATGGTGTTTACATTCCAGTGGGGGAGACACTCAAAGAAACATGTCTGGTGGTGCTGAGGAAAACAAAGCTGGGCGGGGGAATAGATTAAAGAGAGAGGTGGGAGCAACTTCACAGGTGGTATGAAGGGTATCCCTTTGATGTGTGAGCAAAGATCTGAAAAACACAGGAGCATTCTTTGTGTGTACCACTCATATGCAATGCATTGTTTATTACCAAACATTATAGCCATTTTTCCATGTATAACTTCTTATCTGCCCAGTAAGTTCTCAAGATCCCGAAGGGCAGTGACCCCTCAACACTTTTTAAGCTGATACCACCAGCATGTTGCCTCAAATATGGACAATTATTGAATATCTGTTCCTGATGATGATCATACATGTGAAGCTGATGATTTCCTTTCCCTGTATGACTGTAGAACCAAAATTTTAAAATACTTGAAGTATAAAACACATTTTGTAAGTTTTGTTGAAAGAACAGAGTTGTTAAACTTTAAGTGGAATTTATCCTTTGTTGTATATGCTTTTCTCCTAGTGAGTCTAATTTTCACAGTTACACTTTGGTCTCATTGAATGAAGAATTTAATCGTGGACAAGGACTAAATGTGGGTGCCCGAGCTTGGGACAAAGGAGAGGTCTTGATGTTTTCCTGTGATGTTGATATATATTTCTCAGCCGAATTGCTTAACAGCTGCCGGTTAAATGCTGAGCCAGGTGCGTAGAATGTGGGTAGATGAGCTGAGTGTAGAAATTTCGAACAGTGTCCCATATTTTGAATCAAGTTAATTATGTTTTCTTGGTATGCCTGAGTGGCTCAGTGGTTGAACATCTGCCTTGGGCTCAGGGCGTGATCCTGGGGTCCTGCAACCAAGTCCCATATCAGGCTCCCTGCAGAGAGCCTGCTTCTCCCTCTGCCTGTGTCTCTGCCTCTCTCCCTCTCTCTCTCTCTCTCTCTGTGTGTGTCTCTCATGAATAAATATATGAAATCTTTTTTAAAAAATTAATTATTTTTTCTTAAAGTCATATTTGGCATACTTTAACTGAAGTATTAAGTAGGAAAGTGAAAATTTGCCTCTCTGAAGTTCATACCCTTGTTCTCTTGTGGCCCAGTTCCGTTGCCAACATTTGAATCCAAATAAACAAAAGCAAAGAAAATCTTAAGACTGACAAGGAGGGAGGAGCATTTAATCAAAATAAAAAAAAAAGCCAAGCAGACAATGTGGAGATGTGTGAGAGTCAGAAGCACTCTACCTCAGACAGGTGGTGCCAAGACAGAGGCACACACACGAAGAAGCCTAGATATAGATGGTGCTTGGTGTCCATACTATGTAATTGGGGATGATTTAGTAACTTGGCTTTATGGTATAGGTATTTTTTTTTGAAAATGTATGAGCAGATGACATTTTTATAAATCAAATCTTACTTTAAATGTGAAAAGGAAGTTTTCACATGTACCCCCTCAAAAAAATCCTCTACTAAATGTTTTTTTTTGTGTCGAACTATTCATATCATGCAGATTATTACCCTGTTGATTATTTTTATTAGGGATAATTGTCAGGAACTCTTTGAGAGCCTAGAGAATAAATGAGAATTAGGTTTACTTTTGTTACACCAGACAGCATGAAGTTCACAATGTGGAATTTGAAGGAAACATATTTGCTCAATGTAAAAGAAATACTTTAATGTCTTAAAAATAGATTTGCCTGTGAGAATTGAGCTCCCCATCCCTCAGTGAGTTTTAACAAAAGTGAGATGAGCATCTAGTAGGGATCTTGTAATGGGAAGGATGCCACATTGCCACAGATACTTTACAGTTCCTGAGCACCTCCTATTATCACATCTGATTGAGGCCAGGCTTAGCAGGGGGTTCTCTATAGAGGAGAGATGGGCTCCTGAGTCTCTACAGTCCCCTCAGTGCTG